AATATTGTCAATAATACAATTTCGCACTTTTCATCAATACATTAAAAGCCATTCTTTCTTTTAAAATTATAAGATTATTAAAAAGAGAAAATGCATTTTGAACACTTTTCAATCTTCAGCATCTGTTGAAATCTAATAACGGTAAAAGAGAAAAATTAATTCTGAGAGCGAAAAATTTAAAAAGAAATATTTGATTGTTAGTAAATGAAAATAATTCTAATATTAGTATAATTCTCAAATACAAAATTATTCATTAAAACAAAAAAAACTTTATTGTTTATTTGTCTGTTATGGTTGATATAACTCTGAAATATTTAAATAATTGCCACTGGTAACATATCCACCAGTAACTAAAACATTTCCATTAGTTAATAGAGATGCTGTATGATAATATCGACTATAATTCATACTAACCGTGATTGTCCATGTTCCTGTTGATGAATCATATAACTCAGCAGTATTTAAATAACTACTACTATTACTACGTCCACCAGTCACTAAAACTTTTCCATTAGTTAATAGAGATGCTGTGTGATAATATCGAACATAATTCATATTACCAGTAACTGTCCATATTCCTGTTGATGGATCATACAACTCGGCACTATTTAAATAACCATTAGTACTCTGTCCGCCAGTTACTAATACTTGTCCATTATTTAACAAAGATGTTGTATGATAACGTCGACCATAATTCAAAGTGCCATTGATTGTCCACACTCCTGTTGATGGGTCATATAACTCAGTACTGTTCATATAACCATTACTACCAGTATATCCACCAATAACTAACACTTTTCCATTTGACAATACACATGCTGTATGATAACCTCGAGCATTAATCATATTATTACCAGTTGTCCATGAACCCGTTGATGGATTATATAACTCAGTACTATGTGTAAAAGTACCTCCAATCTGTCCACCAGTAACTAAAACTGTCTCATTTGTTAATACGGATGCTGTATGATAATATCGAGTATAAATCATAATACCGGTGACTGTCCACGCTGCTATTGATGAGGTATATAACTCAGCACTACTTAAAATACCACTGCTACCGTTTCCACCAGTAACTAAAATTTGTCCATTGGTTAACAAAGATGCTGTATGATAATATCGAGCATAATTCATACTACCAGTGGCTGTCCACGTTCCTGTTGATGGATCATTCAACTCGGTACTATTTAAATAACTAGTACTCCGTCCTCCAGTTACTAATACTTGTCCATTAGTTAATACAGATGCTGTATGATAATATCGGGCATTATTTAAAGAACCAGTGACTGTCCATTCTAATAGCAAATAATAATTAAATTTAGTTTAGAAAAAAATATGTGAGTCATCAAATTTCAAAAAAAATCATAGTCATGCGATGGAAAACTGTTTGTTATAGTTAATGTGAATAAAATTCTTTGAGAGAACGTCTTACATTGTTTATACGAAATATATTTCATCATTTAGAAAAAAAAAAAAAGAAATATTGAACATTTCTACTAAGAGATCATCAATTTTAATAAATGAAAATGATACATTACGTGTAATTGATGCTCCTGCAATTGTTGACACAGCTAAATATAAATATTTTTATTTAGAAGATTTAAATGAATATGTTCATGTAATGTTAAAAAAGTTTTTAAAATTTGAATTACTTTGCAGAAATATAAAAATTCATTAGATTGATTGAAGATCTTTAACATTCTTTATTGAATTTATAATTAAACGAAAAAATTGAACTTTGTTCTGTATTTTTATCATAAAAACAAAAAAAAATATGAAATGGAAGATTACAATGCTTTTTTTTTCTATTTTCTGTCAAAGAGAAACCTTTTATCTCTTGAATTGAAATTTCAATTTATTCGATACAATCTTTTTGTGTAACAAACTGTTAACAAAGGATAAAACTTCATATAGAATAATAATGATGATTATTTTGAATATTTAATAAAATAAAACTAAAAAGAATTTGTTTCTTTAATCTTATCCAGAAATTTTACTCAGATTTAAGTATTAAAAAAACTTTATCTAAAAGAATGTTAAAATTCTACTTCTCTTCATGCAAGAAAATTTTTCAATATTAACTATTGAAAAGGTTCTATTTGTATGTCTCACTTGTCGTTGATGTTTTAGTTGAAGACGTTAACCAAACTGTAGTCACAACAGATAAAACTAAACCAGATGTAAGAGCACCCAATAATACACCAAGAACAATTGGAAGGAATTTTTGATTTGTTATGAATGTATTTTGAGATACAGATCTCAAAAAAAAAGAATAATATTATAATTAAATAGTTTTGTGTTACTTTTCATTTTGATTAACATTTGTTGTAGAAGTGTTAGTTGGAAATATTTTATTTTCACTTGTCCTTTTGAATAAATTTTTTGAATAAGATGAAGAAGCTTGTGGTGTTGACCATTCACTTATTTGCAAATTTTGACTGTTCATGCTAACAGCAGTCAGTTTTTGTTTTTTTTTTTTTATAATGAATAAATTCCTTTTTTGAAAGAAAAAATCGAACTCTCTTCTCATCGTATTATTATAAATAATGCATATTTTTTAGCATAGCAAAAAAAGTATTTGTATGGTATCTTTTCCATTTCATCTTTATTATAACAGATCTCACTTGATGAATAATCTGTGCCTTCTTATGAAAAAAAAAATTCATTTTTTTAATCAACAAAAAATGAAATGAGCACATCATATATTGATTTTTATACCAAGTTTTATTTTTCTTTCCAATTAAAATGATCTCTCTAATCACTATACATAAAATTCAAGATGTTCACTCTCTTTTACGAATACCAATTAACCAGTATATAAGAAGTATTTTAGCATCCTAATGGAAGATAAGGTTAACCTTTCATCGTCAGTTTTCGTTGGAATATATTATATGCTATAAAAAATTTGCCTAAATTAGGCATATATTAATACTAAAAACAAATTCAAAACATTTGGATTTCATTATGGTAGAAGTAACTGTTAACATAGCAGTTAGAAAGGAAATCGGCCTACCGATCATTTGTTGAAACTTTCAATCTGCATTTTCAGTTAGAAATTATTTATTAAACGGAATTAACAAAATTTTATAAAACTTTTGATAAATGACTTACAGATTCAGATACCTGCACTAAACAAAAGTGTCTTGTCATAACTAATAAAATTTTCTGATTTTCAAAAATAATTATTCTCTTATCTAAAAAATTGAACTTCGAAATTTTAATGCACTTGATTCATATATTTTAATTATTAGCCTGAGGGTGATAAGTTGTTTATATTATCAATCACAATAGTATCTGCTTCACACTTCTTTTGTAATCTTCTGGTAGCTAGAATCACTTTCATTACGAGTTATCAAGCAACTACTACTCTTTTCCATGATGAACTCGTTGGTAATACGTAAATAGCCATCAACCATGGTTGGTTTTGTCTTGATAATATTTCGTCTTGTAAAGAATATTCATGTACCCATGAGTGAAGAATGGAGATCCTATTATTTTCGATTTTGTTCATAAAATTCTGCTAGTCTGCTGATGCTATATAGCGGGTCTGTCAACTCGTAACGAGAAATTTACAAGGCTTTCGTAACTAAGTTTTGTATTACATTCATAACCAGATTCAAAGACTAATACTCTATTAAAAAAAACAGGGTATTCGTTGCAAATACTCTTGCTTACAAAAATCTATTAAGTCAGTAGGTGTGATTCATCCATAACAACTTTTATGTACCTTAATGATCCAAACACGTAGTACTATCCTGTGAATTAATCATCTGTATACCTTCATAGGTATCACAGTCACTTCTACACATTTACTCTTTCAACATTGTCTATGTGATTGTATGACTATTTCTTGTTGTAGCTGTTGACTTAAAGTCAAGATAATCAATTGTGTACTCTTATATCTATGTTATTTGGGAGTATTGCTCGTCCAATCTTCTCCCTCTCTATGTTTTTCTTGGCTACTGTTACTTGTTGTTGTTATTAGGAAATAAATTTAGAAAAAGATTAAAGTTTGTCTGTATCTATCTTCCGGTTCTCTCGTTCTGCTCTTGAACTTTTTTCGATATAATTTTGGTAAAATACGAATCTCAATAAGAAACTCTGTCAGCAGCATCTGACTAGAAATCACACTCACTGCTTTAACATTACGATAGCCTTGTAAGAGCGGTACGAAGGTCCTGTAAACATCGATACGAAAGCCCTGTAAAAAAATTATAAAAAGCAGGGCTTTCGTAACGTACCGTTACGAGTTGACACCTTCCCGCTATATACAGTAACGATCGACATAAAGTGTTTTTCGTTAAGTAAATGTAAAGCAGTTTAACAAATGACAACCATAAAATATATGTTTAGTTGCAAATATCTACTAGATTGTCTTTTGAAATGAAAGAAGACAAAATTATTTCGACAAAATCTTATTAAGAGAGATTCTGTCAGACCACCAACTACCGCGACCGCCGCTAGATTTTTTTTCGATTTCAACTATATAGATGAAAAGAGCATTTATTTTTTACCAACAAATCCAAAATTTTTCGATTTGAAACCATTCTACAAAAACATTAGCCCTTGCCAACTTTTTTCACCCTCTCGGCCATCATGTCATTTTAGTCATCAACTCATTGTGGGTCATATTTTGACTTTTTCTCAAAAGTGGCTAGAGCGATCGCGTTCGTTCAAGGCCAAAAACCATGAAAAACTAGGGGTAGAAACCATCGTATTTTTCCTAGTTTTAACGCTTTTGTAATTCCAATTCTCAAACCACCAAAAATGTTTTCTTTATTTCATTTTGTAGAGTTTTTCAAGCCGCATCTAAACATATAAAATTCAAGGTCTGAAAAAACTATCAACACCTCGAAAAAAGGCATACACGAGAGGCCTATAATAGTACCTAATATGTGGACATCAAGTAAACACTAACAAGATAATCAAGAAATCGAAGCACTAATCAAAATAGAATTATTTGATTTGATTTGATATCCTTATATTCATCAGCATCATCTAAAATCTCTAAATCCAAATTTTAACCGCATTCGGTTGAAGTGGTGAAAAGTTAGCCCGATCCAACTTTCAAGCATAATTCAGAGAATATCATCAAAAATCATCTCTATGAAGTTGAGTTAGTTTTTTAAGATAACAATAAGTTAGTGAAATATTTACTGTAATATACCAAAAGATAGAAAATCAAATGCTGAACGAAATTATCTATTTGCATATTATATATCAATGTACTAATCTAGAGTTATTTGTCAATAACTAAACCCCTCTGCAGAATAGAAGCCCACTGGGCTTCTAATTTGTTTTGAAAATTATAAGTTTGAAGGTGGGCTTCAATTACGATCAACTTTTTTTCCATTTTTTTGACCCTTGATGAGTAACAATTGTTGTTCTTTTTTTAACCATTCCCGAATCTGTTTTCGATCACAATGATGTTGTCGACTAACTTCAGAAATATTTTTGCATTTTTTAAATGCTTTGATAACATTTAGTTTTTCTTGAACAGTCCAAGATCGACGTTTTGAAGAAGAATTTTCGATGGATTTGTCGTTGCTGTAATCAGATTTTGTTGGTTGAATCAGATTAGTTGTTGTATCACTCATGGAAGATATTGGAATGTCAATTTCAGCTTGTTGCTGATCATCATCTTCTTCATTGTCTTGTAATTCGTTGGTAATATCCGTTAAATCTATTACATTATTAAGCATTTGAATAACATTTTCAATTACTTCGTCGTCTGAACTAATTGAAGAGTCAGACTCGATATCAATTTCTTGAGTTAAAGAATGTAATGGTAATAAGTGAGTTTCTTCCATTCCAAATAAGTTTTTATTCACAACTTGAATGAAAATGAATTACTGTTACGAATCGATAGAGAATTAATGTTGCAATACAAGTATTAAAATGTATATATATGATTGTTTTTATATCGAAAATTAGAACACAATAAAAAGAATTATTTTTTCTATACAAAATTGTCGACGGTCACAATTGACGAACGAAGTTCAATAGTCAAAGAAGAAAATATATAAAACGAAAGAAATAGATTGACGACATGAACATTTAATTTAAAAAAATTGAAAATTATCAATAGAATGTTTGTCTTCTTGATTTCTCTATATATACACATTTCGAGTGGGCTTCTATTACGTCCGAAAAACTATAACTTTGGGACTGGACTTCTATTCCGGATGGGCTTCTATTATAGGGTGGGCTTCTATTCTGCAGAGGGGTTTATATATTATTGTTCATTTTTTCAGTTAAATTCTATCACTCTTTTACCATTTATTAGCCATCATTCCGTGCTTTTATAAAACCTTAGCCTGAATATAATTTGACATATATTGTGTAGTTTTTTCTCCTCTACAAAATAATAACAAAAATGAGTTGAAAAAAAAACTATTTAGAACGATGTGGGAAAATCGTTTATAGTATTGATTAAGTAGACAGTGCTTATAGGAAAAAGAAGATGAACACATTAAATCATAAATCGGTCTGCTATCTTTTTCTCAATATATCATTGAGAAAACTATATAGATCGATAGATTTCACCACAAAAAATATTTTGCTGCTATTTTCAATGTACATGAATGATATTTTTATGAATTATTTTTGAGATTCCTTAGTATGGCATTTTGTTTACAATGAACTTTTCATACGATTTATCGATATATGAATATCGATATGAATGACGAGGGAACACCCTCAACTGATCAAATGCTATTTAACTTTTAGTGATTCCAATTTGTAGAGCTTATTGAGTTATTAACAGATATACTAATCATTCGGGCCCATAGCGGATTTAAGAATGAATTTTCCATAACTAAAGTTTATATTACATATCATAGAGGGTCAAAGGTTAAAGGTTAATGAGAGTGCCAGTCTATCTGAGACTTTTTATTTTAGCATAGGCATACAAACATTCACCAGGCAATACCAGTCTGGTCGAATCTAGGGTGTGGGTGTGGGTGTCAATGTAATCAACTCTTTATCTACACCCACACCCACACCCACAACAATAGTAAATATACTGTGACAACGTAATATATTATTGTGTATGTATCAGACGTGATCATGTGTCGTGATTCTATTCGAATTAGTCCATATGAATTTGGTTTTCGTTTTAAAAAATACCTGTTTCTCATCAATTATACGATCTGTATGTACTATAATATTGTACAATTGCAAAATTCACAAAAGTTATGGGCAACACAGATCACAGAATATGATGAACGAGAGAAATGAGATTTAAA